ATGTAAATAATTCCCCAAAGTGTAATAACAGAATTTCTTTAGTGATCATTTACAGCAAATAATGCAGCTAAAAAAACATCTAATATCAATATATTAGTTTTTTTGATTAACCAATTAATGATTAGATAGCAAAAGGTAATTAGAGTTCTTTATATATATATATAAAATTTGAACCAGGTGACGCTAAATCTGCCACTTGATTAGTTCTGTTTTGAACATATTAACAGAAAAATATGTTTTTTTTAATCTTAAATGCAAAATGTGTATATTTTTATATAGTTTTGGATTAATTACGGTAGTGCTCTTAGTGTTGTTCTTTCAGCAAATTACTACTTATTTAGTCTACATACTCCAGTTATCAATTAATTTATTATTAATTCAGTTGACGATTATTTCAGTAATCGATTCATCGTTTCAGTTGTTCTGTTGTTACGCCTTTCTCCTCATCCACTGTTAAAAGCTCACAACTTTTACTGTAAACATGCTGCTCTCCTTCCAACATTACTTACTCTGCAGCAGCTCCTGGCGCAAAGAAGTAGGCAAAGCTCTGAGCCAGTTGTTCAGCGTTTTCCAGATAGTCATAATGCAACGGCTGGTCTGTGTGAGAGAGGCCGATCTTATTTAGGAAGGACACGCCGTCTACGATGAGGTCGACGCAGCCACCAAAACCTGAGGAGGGAGGAGACACAGAAGAAAAAATACAGTTAGTTACACGCCAACGTTTCTCCCTGCAGCAGGTCCATACCTGAGGCCAAAAGAGAAGAAGAGATAAACACTGATGTAAACTGAGGAGAAGAACAAAGGGCAAGTCGTGCAAATTGTAGGTTTTACAGAAAATCTGTGACATGATTGACAGTGGATCAGTGGGAAGAGTAGTTAGTCGTCTTATGAGCCAAACGTGGGTTGGATTTTAGTTTCCTACTGACCCACGTGACCCGGCATGTGAGGCTTTAACACAAAGTGATTTCATGCTCAGAATACCTTCGACCTGCCACAGTGGAGGGCAAATGATCTGAAACGTTGAACTGACTAATTAAAACCTAAATCTCCTTTCAATTAGATTAAAATATCAATTCTAAAGTCAAGTAAGTTTTTCTACTGCTTTCTGCTAAAACATGACATTTTGTTACATTAAAATAAAAATCACAGTGACTAATTTATATTGGTGCCCCTAATATGCTACGAGATTATTTTTATTATTGATTAATCAGTTATTTTGTCAATTAATCGGATTAAATAATAGGAGTATTCTGCATTGCTTTCATTTAAGCCTTTATACAATATTAGAAATATATTAAAAAAAAGAAAATTAGTTATTAAATTCCTTTTTGAAGTAAGAAACTAAACATTTTATTGCCTAAAATGCAAAATAATTAAATTATGTTTGTAGACTTGGTCTCTAATAGCAAAAGACATCTGCAGCAAAAAATAAACTTCTTCTAACATCCAAATGTGAAAGGCTCAGCCCTTTAACATAAATACTGTGTAGGGCTGATCTATCTTTTTGATTAACCTTTTAATAATTAGATTAATAGAAACCTTCTAAAACATAATCTGCCCTGGATGAAGTCAAAACTATGCCAATAGAGTTTTGAGTAGAACATTTTCACAAATCTTTTTTATTTTATCTTATTGACAGTTTTGGCTTAATTATTGCTCTGGATAGTTTTTTCTTTCAGCAAATCATCTTTGTTGACTCTATACACTCACTCCAGTTAACAATTAATCAATTCATCACGATTAATCGTTTCAGTCCTAATTAAGGCCAAAGTTGTTGTTTTTTAATCTGAAATTAGTTTACGCTCCATGAGATTAGGAAGCAATGCGTGTCACCAAAAGTCAGTGTGAAATGACAATCGACAAACATGGAGTTAAAAGACAATTAAACATAAAGGAGAGATCATGTTTTTATCTAGATTACCTGTAATGTGCTGGGACAAAACTGGGAGCGGCTGTCAAACTGGGTAAAGGTTGGTCATATATAGATTACAAAGTGATTTTGATCAAAGTCTAAAAAACTGGATTTTTGGGACTAAGTCACAACATCTAGGCTGACATTTTTCAACATATTCACAGGAAACTAAACTAAGTTTCAATCTAATGTGCTAGAAGTCCTGGTTCTTCTTTTTAAAGTTTTCAACAATTTATGCGTTTGAAGCGCTTATGATTCATAAAGGATTCGTATAACGAGAAAGAAGTTTTTGTATTTCAATTCCTGGGGTAAAATTACCCCATGAGTTTTACCCCATTTAACTCCTCAAGTTAAGTGAGGATTTAAAACAAATTCAAAATTTTATACAAATTAAAAGAAAATATGAGGAGGTAATTTTCACAAGGTATAGAAATATGGGTGAGAAACAGAACTAATGTGTATGTAAATTGAGGTTAAGCAAATGAGTGTGTGGGTACGCATGTATATATTTAGACATTCGTAAACCCAGATAAAATAGAAAATGAATGAATCTGCCTATTTATTTACTTTTTTATTTAACAATGAGAGCCCATGTGAAAATATTATGAGTTTATAAATTTATAGGAGTTCATAAATTTTTTACTTCTTAGTCCTTTTCGAGGATGTTAAGATTACTGTCGTACAAAAATATGTGTCCTAGGCATTCTTTGTTCATGTGTATGATTTTATACTTCCATCATGTTCAAAATAAAATAAATAAATAAATGTAAATAAAGGGCAATATTGACGTAAAGACACGAGGCTTGATGACAGCCACAGACAGTTTCTGTCCATATGGTTTGAGGAGGGAGGTCTCTCTTGAGAACAGGCTGTCCCAGCTGCTGATCCAGCCTGGGATCTGGTGACTGAACATTTGTGATCATCTGTCTTCCCCCTTCGCTACCACAGAGCCTTGGAGAATACATTCACATCCACTGAGATTGTTTTTTTTTTTTGTTTGTTTGTTTTTTGCATTTTGTCATGCTGAAACCATGAGGTTTTGCTGTAAAAGATCAATGCAAAGCATATTTCTAAAGTGGCATAAAATTAAAAATAGTTTTCTAGCATTAACCTTAGAAGCAGCCAAGCGGCTCATGGTAACAGGAGGAGCTGTAGAAGATGAACTGCTCAGGTAAACTGCTGTGGATACCATAAATCAGTTTCTTTTTCTGCAAGTTTTTTGTTCTTACTGGAAAAGTAGCATTTCATTCAACCTTATTTAGATCGCACATTTAAGAAAACACCAGTTTGAGGAAGAACTGAATGTAAATAGCTACACAGGCAGCAAAACATTGAGGACCCAATGATGAACAGTAGAGACAGTAAAACTGGAACATCAGTGGCCCACAAGCTGCACTTTAGACTCATCTGGATTAATGGATAAGAATGACCTAGTTAAAGTCCAGACATCAATCCAGTTGACAGTTATCTAATTCTGCTTGAGCTATTCTGCTCAGAACAATAAGCAAAAACTTCAGTCTTCAGGCTTGAAACTGTTTTGCATAAGCAGTCACACTTTCACTATTTGATTTTCAAAATAATGTTCAAGGGGTGTGAAGTTTTTATAAGGCGCTGCATGACAAACAATCCTCCACATCTACCTTCAGATCATCGTCAGTATTTCCCTGGCCAAAACTTCAAGAATTCTAGATTTACATTTTAATATTAAATAAATATCGCATAACCAGAGAACATTTTCAGACAGGTTACAATAATACAGTTACTAGTACTTTAACTCTACTTCCTGTTTGGGGTTTAACAGAAACAGTAAGTAAATCTTGTGTCCGTGATTTCAAACAAACTGACTTTAATGTCAGGCACCTTTTATGTTTAAAACTGAGCGTTTATTAATGCCCAGCGTCCAGTCAGACCCCCAGCAGCCTAGCTAGTGCCGCCCGCTAGCTCTCCGCACCTACCAACTGCCACTCTGGGTCTGGCGTCATTCACCCCGACCTTCCGCTCAGCCCGGAGCAGAGACGTCAGCACCGTGTCCAGCCGCTCGTCCAGCTCCGTGTTCTGCGGTGAGCGGAACCAGATGGCTAACAGAACCACGAAAAGCGACAGAACAGATCCGTACTTCATCAACGGAAGCCTGCTTCCCCCCTCCATCATTGCCCGCTCCTGCTGCCTGCGGCAGCTCTGGCTGGCTGACTGAACAAACACACCCCGCCCTCCGGAAGTGAAGGACACCTCGCAGCAGCAAACAGAAAGGGGCGGGACGGACCGCTGTATTACACTCCGAAAGTGAAGGGGGCGCTGTTTCCTGTTTGCTGCAGCGAGGTCCTTCCCGGAAGAGCAGGCAGCTTCTGCGTTTGTTTTTGAACCGGGAGCGTCCCGGGCGTGACTTAGCTATGCGGAGACTAGTACAAGCTTCCGGGTGTAAAATTATGAAAATAGAAAAATACTTTGAGTGATTTAATGTCCCGCGTCACGTCGTAAATCATGCATCATTTTATTTAAATAGCAGCGCCATCCTGGCAGTGAAACTAACTGATCACGGTTCTCATAAAGATAAAATAAACATTGTACATGCTCTACTTAAAAATGTAAATTTACTGAATATTGTTAAATGTTGATGTGAGTAGTAACTAGAATAACTTGAATAACATTTGGAAGTCAACCGGATAGAATAAACATACATTAAAAATAAGTTCTGGGACACTTTCCCTCAAGTACAGGCAAACCTTGGACATCAAATCAATTTTGGTGCCAATTTGTACACATGGTCTCTGTTTCACACAACTCAAAGCTTTAATGAAATCCATTGTTTTAGTCAAGTTCATTGTGAAAGAGCTATAATGAGCCAAACTATGAAGACTAACTCACTGTCTAATGCATACCACTTGAAATGTGGTATGCATTAGACAGTGAGTCTAATGCATGTATGTATTTCACTGTTTAAGTGAAATACATACACATATCTAACAGACTACATTTCTTTCTATCAATCAAATTTTATTTGTATAGCACATTTCAGCAGCAAGGCATTTCAAAGTGCTTTGTGTCATAAACACAAAGTCATGCAACATAGAATAAACAATACATTAAGTCAAGTTCCATCATTAAAATTTTAATTGATTACAATTCAAATACAATTCTAAACGGTGCATTTTTAGTCAAGATTTAAAGAAAGTCAGCATTTCAGCTGTTTTAGTTTTATGGATGATTGTTCCAAATTTTTGGTGCACAGATGCTGAATGCTGCTTCTCCTCGTTTGGTTCTGGGGATGCAGAGCAGAACCAGAAGATCTGAGGGCTCTGGAAGGTTGATACAGCATCAACAACCAGTAAGCAGTTTTACAAGTGTTTAAAATTTTGTCTAAAATATGTATATAAAAATACAAAATGAAAACCACAATACTGGCAACCAAAGAGTCATTTAATAAATTCAAATGAACAATTCCCAGCATCTGATCATATTGACAGTAAAAACCTCACTGCATCTCATTGTAATCCATTTTAAAAATGCTTAAAAATAACAGGCACCTATTTCAGGCAGTACATTATGACATTCTGTAGTACAGCGTACAATTTGTCATTAAAAAAAAAAAGTATCAAGGGTCAATGCATGATGAAATATGTTCTGAGAAACATTTCTGCTCATTGGGGTGTTTTTAAAACCTCCATTCAGTTTGATGCTGCATGGATCTAAAACAATCTACAACAGTACAACACAAAAATTGTGTGATCTTTATTATGCGGCATCTTCCCCAGATATTGAAATGAAAAAAATAAAGTGAAATATGAGAGCGTCCTAAAACAGACCAACAAAGGAAAAAAAAAATAAAAACATAAAAATTGTAGCAACAACAGTTTGTCTCAATCTAAAAATTCACTTGAAAACTACAGGAGTTTGAATTCCTCCTCCTCAAACACCATGCTGTGCAGAAGTATACTTTGTTCAATGACAGTGGAGTGTGGCGCCCTCTGGCGGTGACGCAGCATAAAACCTAGAAATAAAATCAAACTTCATGAAGTCATATTTAAAATAATATTTCCTTTTTAAACAGTCAGTCATTACTGAGCTTACCTTAGTTTTACTTGGGAATTCCAGCCACGATCTCAGACTCAATGCCACAGTGATCTGATCCACGGAGGATTTTAAAGTATCCTGAAAATTAAATCAAAGTGAACTTAGTATATTTAATGTTCAGTATAATACGAGAAATTAATGGAAGCTCTTGACGGTAGTAATTTCCTGCTCACCATTATCACCCCAGTCAGTGTTCCAGGAGTTTGCACAGAGCCAGTAAGGGACACCATTTTCCTCTCCCCAGCCCAGGATCTTAATGGCATGTCCTCCTACAAATTCTCCTGACATGTGCTGATACACACCTGAGCAGAACGGAAGAGATACAGTAAGGAAATCAGGAACAGTTATCATTTAACCATTTTGTGATCTGCTGAGATTATATTTGTTAGATTATTTGATGCTGCTTTTCTTACCAGACTTGTAGGAAGGGAAATCTTGGTAGACTTCAAACGCCGCTTCTACAGGTCCGTTCTTGTAAATCTCTGATTTGATCTGATCTTCGTCTGGTGCTACACCATAAACTGTCTTGCCTGCAAAAAACTTCAGGTTAAATTCCTGTATGTGTCCCATAGTGATGATTCTTATGTTTCCTTGAACAGGTTAGAAAAGGTCCACAGGCTAAATAAAACATCTTCATTTCATTTTTTGTACAAAATCATTCTTAGATTTTATTCAGGTCAGATCTGCCCATTTTGATTACTTTCAGAATGAACCGTTTTAGGGCTTCCTGTTTCTTTAAATCTGAATAAACTGCTGCTGGTCGCTCACACATGATAATGGTTGCAAAGAGATGGACAATTATACAACTCTACATCTTTGAAAAGCAGAAGTGGAGTCTCCTGCACAACAAACAAGAATGCAGCAAGTGGTTCCTGGATGGGAAATCACCAACAAAACACTTGTCTTTTCCAGCAGCCATTGCGCAACGTATACAACTGACCAAACATGGAGGAGCTCAGCTTTGGTTGCAAGGTAATACGACTTAACAGTCAAAAAATGTTGGGTGGGTTTTGAATTGTCGCATTCTCCAGACTTTTTCACTAAACGTTTTTGTCAGAAAAGAAAACAGCCGAGTGTTTTAAGCACTTGGGTTGTTTTTAGAAACAGTTAAGACCCAAATAAAAATATAAAAACATGAAAAAATTTAATTTTGCATAACATTTTCCCTTTACATACTTCTTTCAAACAAGCTATTTTTAAACAGCAGCAGAATTAAATCTTCACATCTTATCGTCACTAAATGTGTCTTGACTAACTGATTTTGTTATTTCTTCAAGACTACATTTTTAGTTTTGCTAAACAATCAGCAGCAGGTGTGTAAACATGCAGCTCAGTTACGCTCATCCAAACTGCTCAGCAGCATTCTTACCATAGTGTTTGTCCTGTTCGTAGCTTGGTGTGTATCCAGCCTCACACTGTTTGACACACTCTGGCGTGTCGCCGCCCTCCCCAGTGCAGGGAGGTCTGCTGCCGTTGGCGTGGTGCTCACAGGGTTCGATGGTGTACGGCCTGCAACCTGCAAGAAGCACAAAGACTCAATCAATTATTACCACAGACTATTCAGTTGTTTCAGCATCTGAGAAGCACTGTATAGGAATTTTAATTAGACAAATATTAGATACCAATTGCACACCAAAGCATAATTTAGTTGGAAAAACAATGCAAAAGACATAAAATAGACCTATACAGACCTTCTGAAAAGGAGAAATCCTGTTTATAAATCCTAAATCTTAAATTCCTAAATAAGCAGAAACAAAGAATCTGCTATTATTTTTAAAACTTTAAAAAAAGAAAAAAAAAGTACTTTTTAGAAGAAGATTTCATCAAGAAAGTATAAACCATCTGCATCCTTTGGTATTTTTTTGTGTTGATACAAACTGTATAAAATTTGACTGTCGTGTATTTTTGAGGTTCTTTTTTTTCCCCACTTTAAGATGGAATTTCTGTACCACTGATGCCAACTCAAAATATATACTTAAAATAAAAAATCAATGGAATTTGATGCATTTATGCAATCCTCTGCCAAAATCACAACAGTCTGCATTTAGCCATTCAAAATCATAACAATAATTTGAATCATTATGCCAGTGTTAAACATTGTTATGAAATATTGTTATATCCTCATCTTGACTTATTTTTAATAAAGCCACTTGTGTAAATGAACGTACCAATATGAGAGTGATAGAGCCCTCCAGTCACCAGTCCATTTGTGGCCCAGAAGTGCCAAGCTTGCGGAGGATAGCCACCTTGACATCTTAAATAAGAGACAAAAAATACATTAATCACCATCTCTGTAGACGCATTGAAGACAGGATGCAGGATGATGCATTTATTCTGCATCATGTTCAGAATCTGAAACTCATTTTGGACTTCTATAAACTTAAAACTCAAGTTACTTTGAAAAAAAAGTGTTTTAAAACGATTATTTAAACTATACACATATAGCAAATACTTTGTACAAGCACCACACTAACCAAGTGTTAAATCACGAACAGGAGTTTGAATTCCTCCTCCTCAACAGGAGTTTGAATTCCTCCTCCTCAGTTTAGTCACTGACCAAGCTCATAAAAGTCAAAATTATGTCCAAAGGAAGATCAACTTTGAAGGACCTACCCATTTCCACAGTTGTAGCAGCAGGTGAGTAGATCCTCAGAGGAGATCTCCACACTGACCTTCCCTTTGGAGTGAATGCAGATCCGGTCAGAAATAGCCTCTACTGCACCAAACGCCTAAAGGCAGAACAACATGGCATGAGAATTACTAAAATAAAAGTGTTCAAAGTTTTATTGTAAAAAAAGTGAAAGCTGAATTTGCATTTATAATTTAGCGAGGAGTTTTCCTCACCCAGCAGGATCCACAGGAGCCCTGGTCTCTGATCTCCGTCAGGGTGGGACAGTTGGGCCACTGCACTCTGGAATCAAATTCTGCTGGCAGCTTCATGCTTTCTGCATACTGAACCCTGAGGAGACGCGACTGGTGTGAGTGTTACCCCATTAAACTATTTACTTTATAGATTTTTAAATCAGCAGAAGCTGCAACATATTACTTTGAGGAGCTGCAACAATTAATATCAAGAAATGTTAACCTATTTTTGGCAAAATGGCTCAAGCCCCTTTAGACAGGATGGAGAGCACCTGAATCTAAATTAAAATCTCACCACAGACTCTGAACTGCATGTAGCTTAAATGGTCGGTTTCAACATTTAAATATGCATTTGTTGTAACTACTCCACTGTTACTACGGTTGTTTATTGAGGGTGGTTCTTCTACAAGGTGAGCCTAAACCTCTGTCTTAGAGGTGACTTATATGGTTCCTTGAAAAGGTCAGAACAGGTTTACACAAGTCATGTTCGATCTATTTATTTATTTACAGAAAATCATTCTTAGATAATGAGATGTTAGTCTGTTCAGTTCTGCGTGTTTTGAGCTGCTTGAGATGTTTTAGGGCCTTCTGTCACTTTAAATCCAAATAAGGTGCTGCTGGCCACGCCGCCCCAACTCAACGTTTACACTATTGGGAAAATGGCTGCAAACAGATGAATAATTAGACAACTGTACATCTTTGAAAAGCAGAACAAGAGCCTCCTGCACAACCTTCAGGAATGTAACAAGTGGATTAGTAAACAACAAAACACTTCTCTTTTCCAACAGCATACAGCAGTAAAACCAGCTGACCAAATATGCTGGAACTCAGCTTGTGTTTCTAGGCAATGACAGAGTCCCCGTTGAAGGTTAACATTCCAATTAACTTTTGAATTAAATTTTGAAATGATTTTTGAAACAGGTCCAATTCCAGACAACAAAAACATAATTCATTGACAAAAAGAGTTTGGTGGGTTTTTTTCTAGATGCTTGAGTTGTTTTCAGAGGCAGATGAGACCAAATTTGAAGTGTAAAAATGTGCAAAATCTGAATTTTGCACAATATGGCTCCTTTCATTCCCATCCATTCATCTAATGAGCTCCCCAGCGTTCCTATTCCAAAAGGAACAGTGTTTAGAAACCAAAATAAATGGTTTTTAAACACTGTGGACAAAAGCATCCCCACAACATGACAGTTTAGATATAAACAGTGTTTTGAGTCTACATCACAAAAGGTGGAGATTTGGTCTTTTGTATTCAATCTCAGTTTAAACATACATTACATATAGCCTGTACCTCTAAACACAACTGGTTTAACTGGATTTTATTTGGGGACATCCAAGAAGATTTTTTTTCTCAAGCCATAAATCATTTTCCTTCCAACTCGCAATGATGAACTGGTTTGTTTTAGTCCATAAAAAGCATTCATCTTCAAAAATATTTAAGGTAGAAGTTGAAAATGCAAATAGTTCAATATGATTTTATGAATGCACTGCATCTACAAATACTACATTTATATTGATCTTGTGAGACTTACATGATCGGCAGCTTAGGTCCCTTCAGCAGAGTCCCGCAGAGGTTTCTGACGTAGCTGTAGTCAACATCACGGAAGTTGTGACCAGCCTGCAGAGTGGAAATATGAATTAGTAAAACATTCACAGGATTCTGGAGGAAGAACCAGAATAAACTCACCTTCCAGGTTGTATTGAGCTTATTGATGTAGTTGACCATTTCACTGGACAGAGGACGGATGTGGGGTCTGGCCAGGCTCACAGACAAGCTGGCAGCCAGCGCCAGGAGAGTTGCACACAACATTCTGCCCAACACACACAAGAAAAAAGAAAATTTAAAAAAAGGGGGGAAAAATAATTTCAAGCTTTTCACTCCATGACTAAAGTGTTTGCATTTTTGGTGAAATTCCCATGAAAGTGTTGCACCTGAATGCACAATGTTTCCCTCTTAGATGCACTCCTAAAGCTGCTAGACCAGCAAAATGTTACAGTAGATTAGACATTTCCACGCCTGACGGAGATACAAGTACAAGGATAAAGCAGCAACTGTTCTCAGTCAAGTTTCCTACAATCGTAACAAACCGCATCACTAAACATAATCGAAACCTCATGCAAGATGTGGAAAATGCAAACCAGAACACATTAAGGGGTAAATTCAAGTCTAGGGCTGGGTGATATGGACTTAATATTTTATTATGATATTTTGTGGTAACATTGTGTTAAAATAAATAAATACTGCCGTTAAGGACACCACCTGCTTAAAGGAATGTGATTTATAATCAAACTGCACAGGGTGGCAGCATTCAGTCATATTTTTGAATTTTATTTTTTACATTAATAAAATGAACCATGGAGACTATGATACAAATAATATGTCCAATAATACAGTCAGTTTTTGATTTAACTGAAATTTATTGAGACAATAAATAATTACAAGAAAATATGTATGATAAACGGTACTATAAATGCCAACCCCAACTCAAGATACTGTTTCTTTTTACAAAACCAAATGTTTTTAGAAATAAATCATAACTACCGTTTATTAAAAGGTAACTAGAAGACGAAGGAGGTCCAGCTAAACAACAAAAGTATAGTAAATGATGAGCTTTGTGATGCAAAGTAAAGCAGACTTTTGTTTTGGTTTTTAAACTGTTCCTTTTGGAAAGTCTTTGTCTCACCACAAACACCTGTTTGGGCATGAATCCTTCCTGTAAGTTTGAAACCTGGAAATTCTTGAGAAATTAGTAATGAATCACATGATGGATGATCACGGGTTACCGTCACCAAAAGAGAAGCAGAAAAAGAAAAGTTTCCCCTTTTTAAAAATGATATAAGGACTAAGCTCATATAGAAAGTACTGCTTGTCATCATAAAAAGCAGCAGACACTATATTAATAAGGAGTAGGCAAAGAATACTATAAATCTTAGTTATTTGTTTTAAATAACAAATCTTGCATGCAGCTGTACTTGCTTGCCTTTGACTCCTAATAAGGAATTTTATGATTTATTTTAAGAAAAGGTTAAATTTTCCTAGTGCATTTTGGGGGAAGTGAAACTCCAGCTCTGCCAATCTGCATTTCTCACTTCTAGACAGCAATTAAAACTTCATAGCTTGCTTACAAAGCTCCAAACGGTATGACTGACAAAAAGCTGCTGAGTCACTGGACAAACAACCTCCACTCAGTCACAAGCTGGAAGCTAACTCTTAGAAGGTTAGAGGGCTGAGGCTGTTTTCCATCGAGAGGTTTAAGATGGCGTCATAACTTCATGAGTCAGCAGCAGCTCAGACCCCAGAAATGACTGATGACCTTTCCATAAATCTTTCCGTTACTAGTGATAACCTCAAACAGGGTCTCTCAAGCCCTCAGTAGGGCTTTTCAGTTAGATGCTGACTAAACGGAAAACCTAGCTAACAGAGCTCAGTTAGCTAGGTTTTGCTGTCACCTTTCCTCTTATCCACTGACTCTGAGCAGTTGTTTATTTTTAAGCCCACAATGGGAAACCTAAAACTGCTGCTGCGCCAGTTACTTTCAAGGTTGTCGCTCAGTAACCAAAGTGATTGAGTTGATTTGTTGTCCAGCGCTAGCCTTAAATGAGGCATATCAAACTTATTTATTTTAATGAGGCATATCAAGCTTATTTATTTTAATGAGGCATATCAAACTTATTTATTTTAGTGAGGCATATCAAACTTATTTATTTTAATGAGGCATATCAAACTTATTTATTTTAGTGAGGCATATCAAACTTATTTATTTTAGCACAGTAAAACAACCAAACTGAAAAATCTAAAAGCAAACCATGGCATGTTGTTGAAAAGGGGATAAACTAAGTCTGTTTTTACAGTGAAGTTCAGCTGGTTCCTTTAATTGGGTCATGTACCAGCTTTTATGGCGATGAGTAGGTGGAGTAAATTAATGTTTTACAACATTCCCTCTCTGTGGGAGCAAAGAGGTGACAGATATTGACAAAACACCACAGGCTCTGATTAGAAAATCAGACAATAAAACCTGATAACAAATAATCAACCCAGCAAGTCTTTGCTTGTTTCAAACTTATGAATTTATTTTTCCTTGTTACAGTAAGAGGTTTCTATTTTAAACTGGTGGTTATTTAGCTGAAGCCTCTCAGGTGTTTTGATCCTCTTGTAACATTTAGATTTGACATAAGCCATTTTGTCTGGGCCTTCTTATAAAAAACGGGTTTCATTTTCCATTTCCTTTCCAACTGACTGCAGTGTCATATTTCATAACCGTATTGCTGCTCCACCCCTTTGTGTGTGTGAAGGGACTGCAGTTTTCCTAAACCACTTTTCTTTTGTATTTGTTTTCAAAATCCATATCGTTACATCAATATATATTTATATTTATATATTTATCAGTAAATATCAGGGCCCCTGTTTGAACTAATGTGCACCACCTGCTTCCTGTTTACCTCGAAGAGATGACAATTAACTGCGGTTAAAAACAACAAAAAACACAAAAAAACTAAATACAGCCAAAGAAAGCACAGCCTGTCTTCATCGTGTCTTTTCACTCGATCTTTAACTTTAATTTTAGAAAGCGTAACTAAGTTAGCTGTGCAGTTTAGCGAGTGTTTTTGTGAAATGTGGTTCATCCAACCACTTATTTCCGCAGCAACCTATAACGACCCATTTCCTTACGAGAAAAAAAAACAGCAGCCTACCTGTGGCTTATCGGTGGGTTTTTGGTTCAGTTGGCCCGGTTCGACCCTCCAGTCTCTGCCTGTTGTCTCACGGTGGGTCTGCTCTTATTTATTGCTGTGAACACGTGAATCGGTCACATGAACGCAGCTCATGTGATCCTGCTGACTAACTGCGGCTTCCCGCTCCTTCCTCTTCAATCAGAAATTTAATCCGCTCTGATTTAATGGACATTAAGCAATGATGTTTAATGAATATTTATCTCGATAATGAATCAGAAATATGTAAAACTTACTAAACTCGGCTTTTCTCAATTTATATGAACAACTTCAATTTAACCACTGGAGGGCGCCAAAAATCAACCATCACTAGTATTTTTTTTGTCTGGTTATGAAAACCAGGCATAAACATTTATGAACGTATAATTCTTTGCAAATGTATTGACATTACCTATTGAAACTTTCTCATACTTTGTTACAACCCCCAACTTTAGAGCAACATAAAGTAGCATGTAGCTGTGAAAAAGAGAGGAGGGAATGTTTGATGTGTTCACTTCACTGCTTTATTTGCATTTTCCCCCAATTTTGTAATTTCTTTTAAACGTCCCTACTCAGTTGCACATTTCTTTTAATTGGAGTATTGTCTTTGTAATAATATAGTGTTATTTTTCTTGTGATGTCTTAGTTTTCGTTTCTGTCTTTGCTTGCATTTACTTTTGAATTTACCCTCAATGTGGCAGTAAAAGATATTTATATTCCTTTTACAAAATAAAAATGTGAAAGGTGTGGTGTGCGCTTGCATTTCCCCCTAAAGCCACTGAATAAAAAACTGTGCAATCAGCTGTAATTCAGAATTATTTGATGGCACAAATACTTTTAGATACATGGAAATTTACAGCTCAGAATCTCAAGACATCATTAGTCATTTACTACATAAAAAAATAGTAAGAAGAAAGCCATATAAGTCACTTTCTAGCTATGAAGGGGACATAGCTAGAAAGCGTGAGAATGAAACTCTTCCGGTGAGTCTAAATTTAAACCTAATTGGTCAATATGCAAAATTGTCTCAAAATAAAAAATAAACCAAATTTACACACAAGAACAAAAATGTTGGTACTCCTCTTTTAACGACCCACAATGGTTACTGAAAAAAATTTAAAGTAATTAAAGTAATGATAATAATACAGAATTAATGAAGATTAACCGATGAAAATGAGACCTCGCTTTTGAAATATGGCTCAACAGAATCATTAAAAATAAATTAATGAAAAGGTCTAGTCAAAATGACATACCGGTGTCTTGATTTTTTTTTTTTTAAATGTTAAATGCAATGTAAAGAATAACAATTTGAATTGTGCAAAGCTTATGTAGCTAAAAATACAGCAGTTTTCGACTCAGGTTTGGGTCATTTTGTTGCATTTTTTATTATTGATTAATAGGCCAGATTTTTACAAAGTAAATTTTTTAAAATTTTATCTAAGCTCATATGGTTATGACTTCAATTCAATAGTCAATTTTCAGTAATAATCACTGCAAACCACAGAGAACATGCTGACTGCTTGTGCACTTTCTCTTCCTTTTTATGAATCTGTCATCTGATTATCAGGCTTATGAAACTGACAAAAATTACAATGAACTCAGTTTATTTTTTTCGTCAGAAAAGCAGACACTGAGGAACACGAGAGACAGGTTTTGTACCACACCTGTGAAAACATGCAACTCAGAAACCATAAGACCGGTTGCTGTGATGCCAGTAAAGAATTGTCCATTGATTATTGAGGATAGTGTGAACATTTATTTTTCTTCATGCCATTTTTGGAATGAAAATAAATTAAAAAGTTCAATAGTTTTCTGTTCAAAACGGTCTTTAGTTTCCATCTTCTTGGATGAATGTAAAATAATGTCACATCTAAATCTGCCAGACTTATTTCTGGTCTCAAAGTGAGAACTGGCTAGAATCGCAACACACTTCTAGCACTGCTCAGAAAACTGGACAAGATAAATAGACAACATTAACAAATCATTAATATTAAAAATACATAAGGTGGAGTTTGACAAAGTAATTAAAAAAAAAACACTGGAGTATTTTGTACTAAATAATGAGTAAATAAAACAGTACATTTATTGGTAATTAACATGGCACTTTCCCAGAACAAACAAATTGTGCACATATACCCAGGGGTAAAGGTAGTTTTAATACAACTATGACTAAAGTACATATATAAGAATACATTTATATATTCTTATATATATATATATAGATTTTACGATGTCTAATAAGACAACGGTGGTCGATTAGTTAATTTTAAATTCCTGCTCTGCTTGTAATTTTGGTAATGAAATTTTAAAAACGCACAGAATTGCGCAACACCTTGTTGAAACAATAATTACTGAGATTATTATTTTTGTTGGGTCATTGATTTGGACACGTTTCTTGTTGATTTTATTTTAATGTCAGAGGATGACGTGCTGATCTCAGCGTCCTGCATTGTTCAGTTTGTTACCAAATAATTGAGTCAAAACCTGTGATGAACGTATTGAGCAGCCCTGATCCAACAAAGCTCAGAAACAATGTGAAATGGGGGGAAAAGCTATTTATTAACTGATTAAGTCGTGTTTTAGATTGTTCCTGAAAAACTAATCAGTCGCGGCTGCACAGTGGACTCAGTGGCCCCCCTCTCTTGCAGGTACTGCATGCCTGGGGCAAATCTTTACTTACTTTCACCCCTGGGTTAACCCCCTGGGAAGGTTTTGTCTGCACACAGCTGCTGTTACGGAAAGTGACAGAGGCAGAAGGAACAGTGAACTTCCATATTTCAGTTTTTTAAAACAGTTTGATGCAAATGGAGTTAGAACAATTATTTATTTAAATAAAGATATAAACCACATTACACCAAACTAACTTTTAGCCACATAAAATAGATGTTTTTTTTGATTAGCAGATAAATATGCAATCACGTCTCTAATTAGTCAAATCGCAGACTTGCCAGTTCTTGTTACTCCACGCCACCGCTCCTTGTCCCTTCTCCCTGGTTTTCTCATGGTCTCTTCATGTCTCTGGTTTGGGTTTATTTTGTCCCTTAGTATTTTTCATTATTTGTAAGTTTGATTTTTAATTAAATCTACAGCGGAACTTTTACTTCTCCTGCCTGCTGCAGTTGGATTGAAAGGAAGAATTGCATTATTTTCAGATGGACCAAAATATTTTGCTATGTAGAAATTTTGGTATGTGAAGGACAGAAAATTTGAATAATTTATATAAATAACATAATTGAAAAATAACAAAATAAAAAAAATAAAAATTGTCATAATTTTCTTCCAAAATAAGACTTTCAAAACACTATTGGTGTTTTTCTGTCTGGTGAAAGTTTGGTTAAATAAAACACGTTTGTTCTTCATTCAGTGAATGAAGCATGGATCCATGCTGGCTATGAATCCACACATTTCTTTATGTGGCCACATGATGGCGCCAAAGACCCCTTACGATAATTTGAGCCAATGGTTTTTTCTGCTCATGTAAACTGAGATATTTGTTTAATGTTGTGGATTGGTATAAAACATGGATGATTTAGGTTTTTTTTAAATTAGATATCTTTGATTTGTATTAATTGGACCCCTATTGTTGTAATATATTTGGCCTAATGTCAATTTATTTACTACTGAATGTCAAGGCAGAAATGTCCTCTTTCCTGTATCCTGACAGATACATCATCTTGTGTGCTACTAATACCTAAGAACCTATACTGAAAACTTCATTGCTGTTGTATATCCTACTATAAAAGAAAAAAATGTCTTATTGCAATTTTGGTCTCCAAACAAATCTACCAGACATGGTAGATTTAGCACATAGAGAGCGTGCTCAGGGTTTTGCTAAGCGCCATAAAAAAAGAAGTCCTCATTGTGTGTGGAAGTAATGGCGCTAATGCCAATGGTGGAGCATATCTTACTATTTTGAAGTTGTGATCCAACTGGTTTGGAACTGTAACAACTTAATTCTCATTATAGTCCACCATGGTTGTTGCTCTTGATATTTTGGTCATATGAACGTGACTTGGACGTTCAGACACAGATTACATTTCATATATTATCACACGAAAAGATCAGAGTCAGGTTGCATTAAGACAAAAATCGGTCACTTGAGGCTGCAATGTGAACACAGCCTTAGAGAATAATATTGCAAATGGCATGTTGCTCAAGAAATTGTGCACATGTGCATGCCGCATGCACATGTGAACGCGGCATGCATGTGCATGTGGCCTCATGCCACATGCACATGCCAATGCCACATGCCATTTTGCATGTGGCCTGAGCCACATGCAAAATGGCATTTGGCTTAATGGTTGCTCAATGGCTGTTTCTGTATCATTTAGAAACAGCCATTCAGTTATCTTAAAAATAAATAAAGAAATAATCATTCACCCACACCTTTTATCCCTCTCTCCTTTTATCTCCAGCTTTTCTGTTCATGTTTTTAAATCATTTTAGTTAATCTTTCTTAATTGCATCTGTTTCAAAAATAAACATTTAGAATCAGAAAGGTACTGGACACAAAATATTTTTTGCATTTATTTGTGATTTTTTATTTATTTTTAGTATGCAACAGCAATAAAGGAGTGTTGACATTTACATTTTGTTTGGTCTTACCAAACTGAATTTCTGTAGAATCTGTTCAAAAAAAAATAATAGATTTATCACATGAATTATGCTTTTAAGCAATGCAATTATTTCTACGAACTAAGAAAGTCAGACAGCTACTTTCTCTCTGTGTGACTCTTTCTCAGATGAATCCCCCATTCAAGGTCTACTATGTTATACTCTGAAAGTTTTTAGCTTCTCTTTAATTACAGAAAAACTTTTTTAATATTAAAACAAAGAAAATGGAAAATGTTTATTTCACATAACATCAAGTAATTTTCTTGTTTCAAATCTCAACAGAAAAGTACTGGAATTTCAAAACAATTTTGCGTTTATTGATTAAGCTATTTTTAATATACAACAACAAAATATAGAGAATGTTGTTCATTCCAAAATTTAGCTAAGCTAACAAAAAATTTTATAGAATCATATAAAATGATCACATTTATCAAATAAATTGTGATTATAAAGATAACATGGCAGCAATGCAGTATTTTCTG